TTGTATTAGGCAGTGAGAAAAATATTAACGTATCAATGTAATTGAACAATGTAATGAAGCAAATGTCTTTCAAAACAGGACTGTTCAGTTTACTGTCTGAAGTTGTTCATGGATCTCCCAGGACAGTAGATTACTATCACCTAGGTGCTGCTGAAGGACATGGTGGCGCTGCGGGCTAAACCGCAGAAGCCTGTGCTGCAGGGTCAGAAGACCAAGCAGTCATAAGATCGAATCCACGCGACAGAGTGAGCGCCTGTCGCTTGTCCCAGTTCCTGCCAACCTAGCGGTTCGAAAGCATGCAAATGCAAGTAGATAAATAGGGACCACTTTGGTGGGAAGGTAACAGCGTTCCATGTCTAAGTCGCACTGGCCATGTGACCACGGAAGTTTGTCTTCGGACAAAACGCTGGCTCTATGGCTTGGAAATGGGGATGAGCACCGCCCCCTAGAGTCGAACACGACTGGACAAAAATTGTCAAGGGGAACCTTTACCTTTACGTTAGGTGCTGCTAATGAGGAGATATGCTAGAAAGCCAGAATACTATGGTGATTAGAAAGATTGACTAGGCCTCAGGAATTTTCCAGGGTCAACCCTGGGCCTTTCTGTTTAATCTTATTCAAGATAGGTAATGGATGTCCTGAATTAGTGTCTTCTTAGGTGACCAATCTTTTCTGAGACAACTGTACTTTTCCTGAAAGTTAAAGAGTGTGACTCAGGGGTGCTTCTGGATTCACCATAATTTGAGAAACCTGGGAACTAAATGGTTACAATTCTGGTTAATTAGTTTAAGCTGACATATCAACTATAATTAGGAGAGATAGATAGATGGATAGATGGATAGATAGATAGATAGATAGATAGATAGATAGATAGATAGATAGATAGATAGATAGATAGATAGATAGATAGATAGATAGATAGATAGATAGATAGATAGATAGATAGATAGATAGATAGATAGATAGATAGATATCCAAGCAATGTATCTCTCCAGCTTTTAAAAACCTTTGAGGGAGATCTTTCTGTTGGTCCCACTGCCTTTAGTGTATGTCTGTATTTTTGTGTGACAGTTGTGGAAGGTTGTTTAGGATGATGGAAGAAGTAAAATGAAGTAGTCAATAGAGGTAAAATGCATAGGAAGCAAAGGAAGAAACTGCAAGTGGCAAATTCTTCGTTCCCTTTGTGAACCATATAGAAATAAGTGTGTTCAACATGAAATGTTTATCTTTAAAAATTGTACATGGGAGGTAAAATGTGCACAGGAGAAAACGTCTATACCAAAATACAAGTGAATTTCTAAGTGGAAAGCCCCCATCCCCTGCCTATCCGGTACAGAACAAGGACAGGAAGAATAAGCCAATGGATGCAGGTGGAAAAAAAAGGTATCAGGACTGTCACTGAGACACGGTGACATACCTGATCCAAAACAGAACTGCTACCTTGCTAATTGGGACTGGTTATGTGGTGTCAGTGCTTCATCAACTGTGGTGGCTTCCAGCAAGTTTTTGGCCCCAATTTAAAGTGTGGATGTTATTGACCTTTAAAGCCATAAATAGCTTAGGGTCAACGTATCTAAAGGAGCATCTTTTTCTGTGTGCACCTGCTTTTGGAAATCCTCTCTTCTGCTCCTGCTGAACAAAACTAGATGGGGAGCTACAGTAGAAACAGCCATCTTAGTTGTAGCAAATGAAATACCCTTTCCAAGGATGCTTACTTGGCCGAAACACTGTTATTTTTTTTTTCAGCACCAGGTGAAGATGTTTGTCTTTCTCTACTTTTATCTACCACTGAATTGTAATACTTTAAATTTTAAAGGCTTTCAATTTTTAAAATTGCACCATTCCTTTGTCATGTTCGGTCTGCTTTATTGTGTGACCTGTCTTGATAACTTTTGTTGCAGGCCCACATACAGGAAAAAATCCTATAAACAATAAAAGTGGCAAAACATATGTAACTGTGGCAGTTTCCCTATTCCACAAGAGTAAAATGCCCAGCATTAACTATCTAAAATAACACCAGTTTTCTTTCTAAAACAACCCCCACAATTAACCAAAATCTCAGGAAGGTTTTCCTCAAAGACAATTTGTTAAGGTGGTTCAGTTATTTTCTGGACCATATCAATGTTTAATCATGTTGTTCTGGGAAGCAATCCAAACTGAATCCATAAATGATAAATTATAGTGAAAAGACACTTCGCTCATCTTGCTCTTGCATAAAATTGTTGAAACTGGAGTTCTTAGGAGTAATAACTTTACATGATTTCTGGTACTTCTCATTCAGCCCTGTTGTTGTCTGAACATTTTAGTTGGTGTTGTGTCTGTACTTTAAAAAAATCAGCATTAAATATAATTCACAGATTATATAACTATCAGGTCTGAATAATTTTGTTGCAACTTTTGGGCAGTTTGCCAGGGCAGGCTTGGATGCATGCATGCTAATTCCCCCCCCCCCCCGGGAACAGTGAAAATTTCCAAGAAAATAGTGTTTACCATCACTGTTATCAATTCTACTAAGACAATTACCACTGAATAAATAAACACAGTTCTAGCCTCCATTGGATCATATACAATAACAATTTTTATATGCAATAATATTAGCACAAGAACTTTTCTAATGTGGAAAAGCATTTTTCGCCTATTACAGCAGGCTTCCCCAAACTGGGGCTTTCCACTTGTATTGGATTACAACAACAACCTTGCGGAATTACGAGAGTTGTAGTCCGGCCTATTTGGAGGCAGCAGATTGAGCAATACTGCATTGTAGTAACTTCTGTGTAGCAGACATGGAAGAATGTTTGCATGAATATACCTGATTCTCTCCCTTTATCTATTAATGGGTTAGTAGAGAACTAATCCACCTGCAGTGACTGCTAGCACTTTTTCAATGAGCTATTTTATAATTCGAGTTTGTGAATCACATCTATTAAGAAAGGAAGCAGTACTAAGTGCTCATAACATTAAGAATTCATTCTTTGTCAAGATCTGTAATTTTCCCACGAGGAAACCACTTAGAAACCACTTGTGCTCCAAGTCTATAGCCATATCTCTTATGGGTCAGCTGGGGTTCAGTTGAAATTTCCACATTTTACAATATTATCTCAGCATGAAGGCTATCCTGGATTTGGAAGGGAAAAACAATATTGCTATATTTTCCTCACTAGGTTACCTAAAGAACAGGACATGGAGAACATTTAACACTGGCCAGAACTTCAGTTTTGCTGATCTTTTTGTAGGATCCGTATATTATGGCCCTTTAATCACCATGGAGAGTTTTTTCCTTGGCTGCTTTCTCATGGCAAATATAAAGACACTTTCCTGTAGGGAAAAGGTTCTTTACTCAGTGGTAGAACATGAGCCTGGCATTTCTATCTAGGTCTGGAAAAGACCCTGTCTGAAACATAGGGAAAGTCATTGGAGGTTAGTGAAGAAATGCCGAGCTAGATGGATTCATGGGCTGACTTAGTGCAAGCCAGCTCATTATGTTTTCATGATCTTACAAACATTTAAATATGTGAACTAATTTACCTGAAACATATCCTGTCTGGAACTGATGAATGGTGAATTTTTTCACTGGTGGCATTTAAGCAGAGGTTGGTAGTCTGCTTGTGGGAGATGTAGTTGCATCCTGCTTTGAGTAATGAGTGACCTTGGTGGCCTCCAAGATCTTTCTAATCTTGTGCTTCTGTGTGAAAGATGTATACTGGTCTGTGATAGATTCTCAGAGGGTCCAGTGTCAACCCATCTCTTGTAACTTTGACCCCAATTGTTCCATGATTGATTTCCTCTGGACCACTCTCCCTGGGGCTGGTGGCCTAACGAAGTTGCAAATCCCATTGGAATCTCCAGTGGAGGTGGAGAGGGAGGAGGAGGAGACAGCAGAAGGGGCTTGCCGGAAGGTCCAGAGAGTGGGGAACATTCTAGAAAGGATGAGATCCAGGGAGGAGAATCAGGGTCCAAAAGATGTAGAGTGGAGGAGGGAATTCTGGAAGTTATAAAAGGGAAAGAAGAAGATAGTAAAGGGGAGGAGTGATTGTGGAGCATCAAGGATAAGGAGGAAAAGCTGGAAGGAGAGGAAAAGGGAAAGACCTGGTTGGATGTAACAGACTGGCCTCAAGCAGAGCCACCCAAGGAATTACTGCAAGCCTCAAGTTTTAATTGGCTATGGGCAATTTCCCCTGTACACCCTATCTGTGGAAGAAGATGCCAGCAGCCACCTCTGCAACCAGTCCTGATGACCCCTACTCCCACTCAATTGGAGTGGAGGATGCAGAGACACTTCAATCACAACTGTCAGTTGGAGGCAAGATAAGAATGTTTCGCTATATGATTTCCTCTTCCCGTGGCAGAGGACAGAGACAGGGATTTTGAACCTCTGAAGTCTTACATGGGAAGGATGATATAACCACTCACCATGGACTTGAGGGCTGTCCAATAGTGGATTAATTGTGGCACACCACTGAAGGCTTCATATTTTTAGAGCTGATTGCACTTACATTGATTTGTTCATTAAAGCTGAGTTGCAAAAGAAACCTTGATTTTGACTCTTGTGTCTGGACCGCTGGACCTCTTTAGGGCCTAGAAGTTCTCCTTTAGACATATTCTTCAGATACGTGTGCCAGTCTTGGATACTTTTGTGGGATTCCATCTGTTATAATTGTACAGTTGCATGTGATATGTGCTAGTACTGGACTCTGGGGTTCATCTTCTATATTTGAAGCTTCACAGCTTGAATCTCCTTTTGCAAATCCCATCTAAGACAAGGATGCTGTTAGAATGTGTCTATTTTTGTTCAAAAGCATCAGCGCTTCATGATTTGAGTGGGAGTACTTGTACATTGAACAGGGTACTTGCTTTAAATGTTTGCAGCATGGAGATAAAAGGACTGGAGATGTATCAGAGAAGCAGAAATTTGCTAACCAAATTTTGAATCCTGTAATTTTGAAATGATGGTTGAAATGACAAAAGTTTTCATATTTTGCTTTCTCTTTCTTTCTGACTAGGTGAATGGAAAGCATTCAAGTACACCATCCTTGCATCCAACGGATACTTTGGCTATAGGTAGAGAGACAATCTCTCAATATGCCTGCCAAAGGAAGACCACTTTAAAAAACCACAACAACATGTTCACGGTAATATATCAAGATATTTAATTTTATACTAAACCAAAGGCACTTTCAGATACAATCTACAAACCATAAATATATGTATTTGTAGCTCTAAGGAAACAGCAAGATGTATTATTGGAGAGGAGGAGACTATTTATGCTAATAGCCACTCTATGCATATTTATTTAGAAGGAGTCCTCCTGCTTTCAGGATCAAGTATTTGTTGATACATGCACCAAAGATTTTGACACCATTCTAATTAAGTACACTAATTGTAGATTCCCAGTGTAGTGTCGTGGATAGAGTTATGGACTAGAACTCTGGAGAACAGGGTTTAAATCCTCACTCAGCCATGGAAACCCACTGGGAGTTTGGAGCTGATAAAACCACTCCTTAAATATCCCACTTACCTTGAGAGCCCTATTAGGGTCACTATAAGTCTGTCCTGCCTTGATAGAACAGAACACACAGACACACAGACACAACACACACACATAGACAAACACGGGGTGTCGTATTTTTTAAGTCAAGTGATAATCTAGAGCAGTGTTTCTGAACCTTGGCGTCCCAAAGACATTCAAGAGAAAATTGGCCCATCATCTGTCAGATCTACTTTGATCTGGATTCCTACATTGGACTCGATGGCCTTATAGGCCCCTTCTAACTCAATTATTCTACAATGCTATGACATTCTTGGACTGCACCTCCCAGAAGCCCCAGCCAGGTGAAGTCCAAGAATGTCATAGCATTGTAGAATAATTGAGTTAGAAGGGGCCTATAAGGCCATCGAGTCCAACCCCTTTCTCAATGCAGGAATCAATTGGAAACCACTTTCCTAGAATGAATGGGTGGCTCCCAAGTTCTCTCTAGTTGGAACTACTTGACCACATTGCTGGCAAGTTTGTATGAGCATACCTTGGGAAACATGCATCTTTGGACTGAAACTCCTGACTACCCATCAAGCAAAGTGTGGAGGATTCAGGGAGATTTATCCAAAAGAAACCTAATTTTTCAAAATTCTTTGGAGCTAAACAACTACAGTACATGAGCAGGACCTTTCCTAACTGATGTCTCAGTATATTAGTTGCTGAAGACATACAAACAGGAGGGAGATACTGGACTGATTTCTTGCTTGCGGGTTTCCATAGTCATTGGGTTGGCCACTGTGAAAACAAAATGGCTGGTCTACTTGAGCCCTTTTCTGGCTATCTGAGAATAATGACATGTCACAAGCTTGGTACATTGAGGGATGCTGTGCATAATGTACATCTCAGTTTCAGTAAAGCTTTTGACAAGATCTCCAATTATATTCCTGCAGACAAGTTGGAAAAAATGGGCTGGATTATTAGGTGGATTTGCAGTCAGCTAGCATATGGTCTGTCAAACCGCAGCCTAAGAGTGGTTACTGATGGTTCCTCATTATTCTTGAGTCAAAGGACAAGTATGGTAACATTGGGCTCTGTCTTGATTCTGGTACTTTCTGACATCTTTGTAACTGACTTCAATGAACAAGCAGAGAGGGTGGCCATCAAAATTGCAGATGATGCCAAACTAGGAGTAGTAGTTAGGAGCTAGAATGAGCATTGAAGATTAGTTCATCCATTTGGAGAAACAAAATGAAAGAAACAAAATGAACTGCAAGAGGGATAAATTGGCCAGTAAAAACTGAATGCAGAAATATAGGATGGCTGGCATATGACTTGACAGGGGTACATGTTAAAAGGATCAAGAAGCTCAGTAGACCAAAAATGAAATATGAGTTAGTGATGTACTGACAAAAAAGAACCATTATTGTCCTAGGCTACCTCAACAGGAGTGCAGTATCCAGATTAAGGGATGCAATAGTATCCCTTTATTCTGCTCTGGTCAGATGTATCTGGAATTCTGTGTCCAGTTCTGAATCTCATAGGATATGAACAAGCTGGAACAAGACAAGGGGAAAGTGACCAAGGTGGTAAAGAATCTGAGAAACAAGGAACAGTTGACGGAGTTGGTCCTGTTTAGCCTGAAGAAGAGAAGACTGAGAGCTGATACAACAGCCAAATATTTGAAGCTTGTTTTCTGCTGCCACTAAGAGTGGGACCTGAACCAAGGGGTTCAAATAACAAGAAAAGGAGATTTCAGCTAAACTTTAGGAAGAACCTCTTGATGATAAAAGCTGTATGGCAATGGAATGATCTACTTTGGAAAGCAGAGGACCCTCCCTTGTCATGGGGTAGGACTAGACTGTATAATTCTAATATTCTATGAAACGTCCAATTATTCTTTCCCCAACTATTTCAACAACTGGGAAAAAAGCTTTTAAACAGATGTCCTTCTTTATGTGTTCTGTTTAGTCAACATGAATATCCTGTAGGCCCTCAGGATTCTAATCATTCCCCAAAATGAGGAACAGATTTGCTCTGAGGGTTCACAGAATGTAATTGAATCCTGTTGAATGTTGCATTTGGTTTTACTGAGCTACTCAAAATTCAAAGGCTGATCAAACGGCTACTCAGTAGCCTCCACTGGCTGCTTTCCGCCCACAGTTATCTCTCTCTCTTTCTGTCTGTCTGTCTGTCTGTCTGTCTATCTATCTATCTATCTATCTATCTATCTATCTATCTATCTATCTATCTATCTATCTATCTATCTATCTATCTATCTATCTATCTATCTATCTATCTATCTATCTATCTATCTATCTATCTATCTATCTATCTATCTATCTATCTATCTATCTATCTATCTTTATACTGCTCTCATTAGTGCCGAGACACCACTCTGTGTGGCATACAATAGATACACCTAAACATTAGGAGATATTGATCTCTTTTGGATATGTAAGAGGAAGATTTGTTTCACAGTTTGGTCTGGTTTGAGGGCAGGCCAGTTTGCTCCTTTTCCCATCAACCACATGACATACTGTGTCAAGTTTGTGTGATTGCTGACATTGAACCAAAGTGAGTGCTTACTTTGCTTAGGTCAGTTGAAGATGACAGGAAATTGAAAGCTTCCTCCTGCTCTCCCATGGAGGGGAGGAAAGAAGATGCAAAGTTCTTTTTTAAGCCCTTGTAAGGCAGAGCCAATGCACTCTGCCATTTAGGATTTTTTCAAAAATTGAAATCTTGCTCCCGCTCTCCCTTGGAGGTGGAGACAGGAGAGGACAATGAGGGGGATTTTGTATGTGTTTGTTTTGTGTTTTTCCCCCTTCTCTTTAAAGAGAAGGGCCAAATAGGGTTGCTTTGAGGTCTTTCCCACCCTCAAAGCACCTTGCGTGTGGATGCAAGGTTCATCCCAGATTATATATCGATCCTCAGATTGAACCTGCTCAGGATGATCTAGCCTGATCTCGCAAACCACCTTGCGTGTGGATGCAAGCTTCATCCCAGATTATATATCGATCCTCAGATTGAACCTGCTCAGGATGATCTAGCCTGATCTCGCAAACCACCTTGCGTGTGGATGCAAGCTTCATCCCAGATTATATATCGATTCTCAGATTAAACCTGCTCAGGATGATCTAGCCTGATCCCTCAAACCACCTTGCGTGTGGATGCAAGGTTCATCCCAGATTATATATTGATCCTCAGATTAAACCTGCTCAGGATGATCTAGCCTGATCTCTCAAACCACCTTGCGTGTGGATGCAAGGTTCATCCCAGATTATATATTGATTCTCAGATTAAACCTGCTCAGGATGATCTAGCCTGATCCAGGCAGTGGTAATCTGGCTGTCTAGTCACACCATGAAGTGGTTCATTTTCATTTTTAACTCCTGTTACACATGTATCTCATAATAAGGATAATATTATCAGTTATTTTTGCATTGTGCTACCTCTGATTTCTTGTCTGGACAATGTTGTGGTCTTATGTGTAATGATGCACAACTATGAGGAAACTATGTAATGATAACAACTATGATTCCCTTTGTGTCCCTCACTTAGTACCACAGAATAGTAATTTCATGTTTTCCTTTTTTATACTTGCTCACTGCCCCTGGTACTGGAAAAACTTGATAACTAACTGATCTTCAAAAACTCTTCTGTTAAGAACAGGTCCAGCCTCAGTGTTTCAATCTGAATGTCAAGTAAGATATTTGCATCTAATTGATAATCGGCCGCCTCTACGCTTCACTCTCTAATAGGCCCACATCACTGCTTAATTTGGCCATATCTGTACTCAGATACACCAGATCTGAATTCTGACCTTCTATACATATGCTTTCAAGAGCAAGAACAAAGCACTCTATGCGGATGATGTTGGGTTGATATTGAAGACCAGAGTAGTGTGGCTGAATAAACCATTGGACTGGGTCTTGAGAGATCTGAGGTCTCCTCACTGAGCTATGTAGCTCACCTTGGGCCAGTCATTCTGAGTCACCTCACAAGGTTGTTGTGAGGGTAAAGTGGGGGAAGAAAAGAGCCACACATGCCCATTCTTGTGCTCACCTGAGGAAGGAGGAGTATGAAACTTAAGTTATATATATAAAAAATGGTGTAACTGATTGGAAGTTATGAAGCAGAAAAGATCAATGTAGCTCATAGGCATTCTGTGTCCAGCGTAAGAGTCCATGAAAATGCAAACCTGGAAGTTCTCCTTATGCCTGTTTGTTCAGACACTTGATTCAAAGATATCAAAAAGTAGAACCTGCAACAAAATGTTCCGGTATGGAGTATTTCTCCGTACTGTTCCAGCCAACTAGCCATGCCCTTCTCCAAATACTCTGATTTATTTCCCTTCCCATCCAGTTTCCCATTTACTCAGTTTTTATCCTGACAGTCAACCTTTTGTGACCTCTGATAACACTTCATTCTCACTGGGCTGTTGGAGGTCCCCTCTCTCCATAGTTTATTTTTCTTCCTGTGTCTGCTGTTGCAAACCATGGAGTTTCCCAGAGCCCAGAATATTACATTTAGAAAGAAACTGATTCCGTTAACTTGCTGCATTGGATCATTAGCAGAGTGTCGCTGTGCCATTACTATGTCTGCAAAGGTTAACTCATTCCATTGTACCTGAAAATGCTAACCAGTTTTCTCAAGTGT